ATTCTTGGAATCTTCACCACAAAAACCTCTGCCTTTGCCTCGGCTTTTCGGATGTGCCTCTGAAATGTCAGATTTGAAGGAGCCTGCACGGCCGGCAGGACCTGGGCTCAAGCCCGTGCTCTGATGAGCACCCAAGTTTGGAGGGCAGCGGTGGGCATGTCCCTGAGGCCACCCCTTCCGCACACAGACACTCTCAAAGCAGAGAGCAGAGGCAGGGGAGGGAGGGAAAGCCCCTCTTACAACATTATTGCTAATGGACAACGTCCCGAGTTGCCCTTCGGCCTGGGCTATGACCCGCCGTCACGCGTGCCGCGTCACTTGCGGGGACATGGGCTTGGTGGCGCGTCACCAAGCGCCACCAAGGAGGAAAGAAAGCCCCGGATTTCCCAACGCCCGGCGTGGGCCTCGCCAAGGCCATCGCTGCGATCCCGCTGGGACAGAGCCTGATGCCTGCTCCGCACTCTGGCCATCAGCATCCCCTGCACTGAGCCCGGGTGCAGCTGCTGTCACTGCTTCGTCCCTAGTGAGTCCCTGGGTACGGACACTTGTCCCAGTATCTACTGTGCAACCATCCTCATGGGTAACAGCAGCAAAGGGGTTGGACTCAACAATCTTGAAGGTGTTTTCCAACCATGGCAACCCTATGATTCTATGAAAACTGGCTGATCAGAGGAGCAGCGGTGCCAGACGCCTTGGTGTGCCCAGCAGCCAGGGTCAGGAGCTGGAGAGCCCAACCGCCCAGGTGCTGGGAATGGCCCCCTTGCAGGTGTCTGGTCAAAACATAATCATTTTGGAAAAAACAGCCCATAAGGCACCTGAAAGGCCAGTCCTGAAGACAACCTGTTCAGCCAGAGTCGTTGAGAGAGGAAAAGACTGAGAGGTCTCAAAGGCAGAAGTTCTCCCATGCTTTGTGACAACAGTGTACCAGGTCAGGGTATCTTCTGGACCCCAAGGACACACCTTTTGCCTCCCAAGGACATACCTTGACATAGTTTGTAGGCACATTTCGTATCTGTTTTATAATGGAAGCACCAGCTCGTTTTTCAGGTCTTCTTGCTCAGCACATAGCATGGCAGGATGCTCTGCAGGTGCCCTGGGCTCAGGAAGAAGGTAAAGAATGCTGCAGAAGTGCTTATGGTCTCCATAGACCCCTGCACCTTATGACTTGAGAAGCTCTATCTATTAAATGCGCCCAAGAAAAGCTTGAAAGAGGATTTTCTCACTATTTTTTACTACTTGATGCAGATGGGTCCTTGGTCTAATCAAAAAAAGACATAGCAGGTGCCAAATATTAGAAACTCTACCTATGCAATTAAAAACAAAGTATTTCTTAGTTAAATTAAGCATTAAACACCTGATCTACAGATCTGCTGATTTCTTTACTACCTGATCTCTTTAGAACAAGACATCAGGTTGATTTAGTTCAAATGGAAGATCTGCACTTGATAAGAGATTTCTAATAATATGAGAGGTCACTCTAGAAGTCGTCATGACTTCTATTCATAATTATTTACCTACTTCTGGACACTCACACATTACATGGTTCTTATTATTAAGGATATTGGCTAAGTTTCCAAGGAGTATTTTGGCATTTACCTGTTGAGGTTGTATTAATCACATTGCCAAATATAGAGCAAGACTGCTAGAAAGCAGGTTTCCATGTTATGGAAATCCCATGTTATGTCATGCCAGCAAAAAATGCTTTAAAAAAGATAAAAAAAGACTCAGATCATTTTATGTTTAACCCACCAGGAACTGTTAGTCAGAGTCAATACTGCTGAGACAGCAAGAGCAATTGCAGGCGAAACTGCTGTTCCTACAAGATGAACAAATGGCTACTAAGTCATGGTTCCCCCATAACGTCACAAATACATGACAGATCTCATGAATCTGAAGCGATGAGAAATGGGAAATTTTGGAATAGGAAAGAAAAAAAATACTCCATGATGATTGCCTGGAAATCCAGGGGATTCTTAAGGCTAAATCTGTAATGCAGCACGTGTGTAACACACAACGTCCCTGTGTCCAAGGGCAAGAGATGGGAAACTTGCACACACAAACATCAAATATCTGTTGGGAGCAAGGTGCCTCGGTGGCCCCTGTCCTCGCTGGGCAGCGGGATGAGCCGGGACAGCTCCGTGTAGGACAGGGCACAACCGCAGGCTCCATCCAGGGGAAAAGCCCCTGCTGGAGCCGCTGCCTTGGCTGCAGGGAGGCAGAGCCACCGTTTTCCCGACCGGCTCTTCGGAGCAGAGCAGCTCTGGGAAGCCTGGGGGACGTGGGTAAAAGTGCACGAGAGGACTTTTGGGCAACATTTCTTTCCTTCCTGAAATATCTTCTTGGCAACCATGACAGCTGTTTCCTAAAGGTTTAGAAATACACCCACGGCCCCGGACACTCTTTAGGAAAAGGTGCTTTATTCATTCATGCAGCCACGTCGTAGTACTGCAGAGTGAACGTATTTCCACAGCGCTAAGCAAGGGTGAGTCAGAGCGAAACTGCACCCTCGAGATCTCTGACACGGCAAAGGAAACACAGGTAAACAGAGGAGCCTTATCAGTGCGCAGAGCAGAGTTTCCTTTATGGAATGGACACATGTGGCTTACGCTCTTTTGCACCAGAAAAACAAAGCAAGTTCCAAAACAGGGAGGAGGGAATTGCACAAGACCCGGAAGGGCTCTGAGCTACCTCGGTGCCTCCCCAAGGCCCTGCGTGTGCCCAGGGCTCCTTGCAGCTGCCCTGGCTCCTGCGAGGAGGAGGGAGCCCTGCCGTGGCCAGAGGTTTCCTCTGGTCAAAGGAGGGACTGAGACCCCATCCGAGGTCCCTGTTGCAAAATCCGGGTCCCCTCTACTCAAAGACCTTTTGCAGAGCCACCTTCCCCCAAAGGCTGTCAGCACCTAAACCATGCACGTCCTTCCAAGACACCAAACTGAACGGGCCTAATTCCTCACGACGTGCAAGCTGCTGGGAGGCAGCCTTAGAGAATCGAAGCACCGAGTTAGCTCGGCTGCAGAGGGGTTAGAGGCATTGCCTACAGGAGGAAATCGCACCCACTTAGGCTTTTTTGCATAATTTTAGATCTGAGTGTTAAACCAAGGCAGCCTTCAGAAGACACTCTCAGCAGTGAAGCTTGAGCAGGTTCAGATTAATCCAAAATAGACAAAAACCTCTCAGGATTGGAGCGAAGGCTGGAATCAGAGAAAGGCAGGATCTTCTCAGTGGAAGTTCATTACTGCTTTTGATCGAGCCATCTCATGCTGCCTCCGCTTCTCCTTCCCCATAACTTCTGGCTGGTAGTCAAGAAAAAAACCACACTGATGCACTAGAGCCGGGGAGAAAAAGGGATAACTAATGACACACGGTGATTCAGATAAACTTCTAGTGTCCCCGCAGTGATTCACTACAAGATTCCTTCTCCTTCAAAAAACCCATTGACAACAAAAGACGCCAAACCAAAACACACACAAAAATAGTTACATAAGTTTGATCCCTTTGCACTCATTCGTGAATACGCACAGAACTTTCATCTTCTTGCTCCTAAATACATACGTATACAAAACACACGCAAGGACTATTTTGCAACAAGGTCCTTCACAGGGACTTGCAAATTCAAATTCACAAATTCACAGAGGTTCAGGGCAACAAAGGAGACAAGAAGTGAAGCGACTTGTGTCCAAAGCAATAAATCTGAAGTCTGGAAAGACCAAGCTATTTTAAAGTCATACAGGGCTTTTCAAAGAAATCTTCTCATTTCACAAAAAGGTAAATTGATCTCCACTTTCTCTTTCTTGGATAGTGAATTTTATAATCAAAAGTTTTATCACAAGGAAATGGGAATATGCACATGCATAGATATCTATAGAAAGAAAGAGAGGGCAAGAGACAGCACACATGCACTATAATAAAAAACGGAAAAGGAGACAGACAAAGGAATTATCTTCAGCGCCAGCAAGTCATTTTTATCAGAGCTGGAACAATAACTCTCATTTCACACAACACACCCAAGCTCGTGGGGTTAATGCAAGATGGTCCATTTACAGGAAAACGAAAACGCTTTAATATGTGAATGGTGTGAATAAGAGAAGCCCTTTGGCGTTACCACACGCAGGTCCTCGTGGGAGCTGAGCCCGCGCTCTGCTCGGTGCCAGCTGCAGCAAAACGGCTCTTCTGCTGCCCACAGTACTGCAAGAGCCCTGAGGAAAAAGAGGCCACCATCATTTTTCTTGTTAAGGATTGCACCATCTTTTGGTTCCCACTTGTTTTCCCTGTTTCCTAAAAGCTCTTAGGGTACCGATGTAAACATTTCTCCTCACAAATTTGAAGTGCAAAATTAAAAACAGCACCCAGCAAGAGCTTGGAAGGTGCTCCTTTCATGCCAGTCAAAAGCATTAACGGAAAATAATAATAATAATAATAGTAATAATAATAATAAAGATTTAAGATTTATCATTAGAATGCCAAAGGAGGAGGCAAGGTGTTTGCACCAGTTCATTAAAAGCAATAAATTGAATTAGGCATAGTGTTGGGAACCTTAAGTATAGATATGCTACAGAGATTTAAAAACAGAACCACTTTTTTCCCCTAACAATAGGGCATTCATCTAAAAATAAAGATAAGCATGAGGATGCAGAAGTAAACTCACACAGCACCTTTTTTGTTTGCATTGAGCTTTCTTCTTTAGCCACATTCAAATTTACAAGAAGCAAGCAATGAAAAAAAAAATGCAGAGTCTAAGCATAAAATCTTCGATGGGGTGTGAGGAGAGGAGGGGGGTCAAGGGAACAGGAAACCCAAGTTGACGGGAAACCCAAGTGACATTTGGGTTTAATGAATGACTTAAAACCCCAATATTACTCCTCAGGAAATGGGGAGAGGAAATTGAGAGATGTTTTGAGAGTATAAATGAGGGGCTCCATGAAGGTGAAGGCTGCAGATCTGTGTTTTACCTCCTGAGAAGCTGCACGGAGAAGGGCACCAAGAGGAGAGGCACCGCTTGCAGCATGCAGCCCTGCACCGCTCTTGTCCTCCTGCTCCTGGCTGCCCGCTGCTTGCACGCCGAGCCCAGCTGCACTCACTTCTCTGAACTCCTGCCCGCCTATCTCAGAGACCTGAGGATCAAGTTTGGGGAAATTAAGGACTATTTTGTAAGTAAGACAGCTCTAGTCTCTCCTCCTTGCTTCTATTTGTTTTTTTCTTCTTGCAAAGCTCGGTGGTGTGGATAGCTAGCTCCCTCTGGACAGAAGTGATTGGGTTGGTGTTAAGGCTTGCAGGTGGGAGCAAGAGAAGCAGCTCAGTTTCACTGCCCGCCGGGAGACAGCAGGCAAGGCTGTTCTTCCTAGTTCTGCTTACAGAGAAGCCGAGAGCTTTCACAATGAATTTTAGCACATCCTACTATCCAGACTTCCCCCTTATCGTTGCAGAGCAACTTATTCATTGAACAAATAGGAAGGAAATACAATCATCTTCAGGGCAATTTGGCACAGCCTCACTGAAATCAATAGCAGATGAAAAGGGAAATCTTTTCCTAAAGACTTTTTTTGTATATCGAGTTTACTACCAAAGTAGCCTGGACAAAGTGCTTGGGGAAGTCTGCAATAACCAGAACTTGGCTTGATGCCTGTAAAAGTTCAAGGCTTTGCTGAAGGGAGCCTCTGGTTGCTGAGGAAGCAATCACGACAAGATATCCACAGCATTTGTCACGGCAAAGATGTTTGCTCATATTTCTATTGCTATTTTTGCTGTTGTCGGTAGCTCCTGGCAGCAGATAAATGGATAATGCTCCAGATGAAGTCCCAGAGTAATGGTGTGGCTTGTATTTATTACCAAACCAGCGTGGATTTAAGACCTGGGTTTAAAGCTTGCTGTAAATCCCCGAGTTGACGCTAGGGATGAACATTTATAACCTCTTGGAAATGCTCTGTTAAGTGTCCTGGTCCCTGGGGTGCTACCTTGGGTGGGGGTCGAGCTCCTGGTCCTCCGGGGCTAGCAGTGCAAGAGGGGCTCTCCAAGGAGGAACACCTAGAAAGGAGACACACCCAGAGCGTGACGGGGTGAACAGGCAGCCCCGTTACGTCAGCCTGACGCTGACTACAGCCTGCAGCGTGGGAGCGGAGGCTCAAGCCCACCAGAAAGGCAATAAGCCCTGCTGAAGGTTGGGATTTCATGACCTTGCTGTCTTGGGGCCCCAGGATATTTGCACTGCCACGTTATGGGCCAAAAAATTGAGATTCCTGTACCTAGAATTAGCGTTATACACACAAATATGAGCAAGCGCTTTCCTGCATGGAGGGCACACGCGCAGCCAAGCCACGCGAGCCTGCGGTGGGGCGAGGGCACTGCCCAAGGAAAGCTTCTCCATTGCACCCTTTTTCCACAGCAATCAAAGGACAACGAACTTGGCATCCAGCTGCTCAGCTCCGACTTGCTCAATGAGTTTAAGGTAAGAACTTCACCTTATGCCCACAATATAATTCTCATCCAAATCCCCTGCCCTTCTTCATCCCTTAAGGAGGGAACCAGACTAAACCGAGGCTCCTGCCCCATGGGGACAGGGCTCAAGTCACACTTATAAGCGCCCGTGTGCTCCGGCCACCAAAGCCCGGTGACAACCGGCCTCCGGAGACTTTCCCCGCCACTTGTGGCTGGCACCAACGTGGGTCCCTCTGCCTCCTCAGGGCACCTTTGGCTGCCAGGCCGTGTCGGAGGCCATGAGGTTCTACATGGAACAAGTCCTACCGAGCGCCAGCCAGGCCAGCGCGCGCCACCAGGAGAGCGTGAGCCGCCTGGGCAACGTGCTGATGAACCTCAAGGCCACCATGAAGCGCTGTGTGAGTAGGGGCCGGGGGACAGGCGGTGGCACGGGCGCTCGCACGCGTCCCTGAGGCCGGGGTGGCGTCGACCGCCATGGCCGCGCCGCCACATCACGGTCGTCTGCAGCACCGTGACCCCGTGAACGAGGAGGAAGGGGAAGCGGGAGGCCGAAGGGGCGAGGGCGGGAGGAGGAAGGGTTGTCAGCAGACGGGAGGAAGGCGGCTGGGTTCACGCTCTGCCTCGTCCCCCCGCAGCACCGGTTCTTCACGTGCGAGAAGCACAGCAAGACGCTGAAGCGCATCAGGGAGACCTTCGAGAAGGTGGGTGTCCGCTCCGAACGCAGCGGCTCCGCTTGGGAGGGAGCCGCAACGCTAGACAGTCAAGGGCTTTAATTATATAAAAATACATAATACATAAACCGCAGTGTAGCCAGTGATGCCCCAAGCAGCAGCTGGATGTTCAGCCGGATGGGTGGAAGGAGAGGAAAACTATGAGCTCCAGGATTGGAGAAAGTATAAAGGAATAAAGGAGATAACCGCGCTTCCCACGGTGCTCCCTGAAAAACACCAGCTAAAATCCTTAAGTTGCTGGCAGGGAATCACAACAAATATGCTGCAAAGTCTACACAAGGACACGACAGATGAGTTTTAAATTATTTCTAAAACTTGATATATAACATGCTACAGTGTGGGATGCAATGCAGAAAAAGGCACATATTCTGTCCAAATTGTACTTATTCACTGAGTGATTTTGCACTCACTTTAAGACGATTTTCCACAAATAATCTGCCTGTAGAGATTTCAAAACAGAAACATCAGTAATCCATCAGTGAACTAGTCATTGCGAGTACTCGTGCTGCAGAACAGAAACGCAGCCCATGCCCGATATCTCCAAATGAATCAGCTCAGACGCCTCGTTCACAGAAAGATCGATGTCAAAAGCCATCAACTCACGTGCTCCCCGCAAGCTCCTGGCGACGCGGAGATTACAGTCGAACGAGGCTGTTTCTAGCCACTCGGCATGACACATATCATTACCTGCAAACTCGAACTAAAACTGTAACTGTGTCAAATGCATTCCTTAATAATTCTTGGCGAACTGTAGAATTATTATCTACCAGCCTAACCGTACACTTGTTAACGAGTTAAAAACTAATATATTAACTTTCACTTGACAGATGAATGAGAATGGCATCTACAAGGCAATGGGGGAATTCGACATTTTCATCAACTACATTGAAGAATACTTGATGATGAAGGGAAGGAAGTGAAACTGTACACGGGTCTGCATCTTTCACACAAAATCGCGCTGTCTTTCGGAAATAATATGACGCTCTAAGAGCATTTGAGACAGGTTAAAAATTACAAGTCAATAACCTGTTAAGGTTTAATATTGTATTTAAAGTTATTATTTTGTGAAGAGAATTTAATATTTATTACCTCTAATATATAAGTGTTTATGTTTACAAATGTTTTGAAGAGAGATGAACTTTTAAACTATTATTTATTGTTCAGTATTTTTGTGCTGTTATATGATTCTGCTGTTTTATTCCTAGCGCCAAAGCTCCCCAAAGCTGCACTCTTTTGG